CTAACCTGAGAGGGCAGGTGAGGGTCCTTGGGAACCCGTGCATAGCCGGGTCGAGTAGCCGGAGTCGTTGTGGGAATCGTGTTCCAGAGACGACTCCCCGATGATAACCTTGTCGTTCCCCAAGTGCGGAGTTGAGAACCGGGACGCCGAAGAAGGCTGCGGCAAGCCGTTTGAGAACCTTGAAATGGCACCTGTAGCGTAGGCCGCGTCTCTTCCTGGAGGGTGCCTGCCTCCGTCCCTGGCTTCCACCACCACATGCCTACTGGCCTCCTGCAGACACGTTTCAGCTAACCTGAGAGGGCAGGTGAGGGTCCTTGGGAACCCGTGCATAGCCGGGTCGAGTAGCCGGAGTCGTTGTGGGAATCGTGTTCCAGAGACGACTCCAGGTTTGGCCGTCGCTGGACTGGGTCGAGGCGGCCTTCAGCCATGTAACCGTCATACAGACGTCGCACTGCTTGCTGTATCCTGTACCTGGGAGAAGTCAAGTTTGTTAATATGTTTGTATATTAGTGTGTTTAAGTCTCGGGCATTTATAATTCCTTTTGTACTAAACAGACTCCCAAACATGCTATATTTTACAGTGAACTTCTGTTTATTCACCGAAATGAAGGTAGACATTACCTGTCCATATCCAGATAGGTCGCAGCATCGAAGTCTTCGTGGGCTTGCGCTAGTGAGGCGTGGTATGTCTCCGCCGTCTGTCCTTCCTCGGGTGTCTTTGGGTATTGCGGGTAAGCCTCATACCCTGGCTTTGCGGCCTTGGGCTCCAGCGGCGCACTAGTGATAGGAGGTGGCCTTGCATGTGGGTTGCGGCCGCGGAGATCCCCATACATGTATGGATTGGTGTTGCGATAATCGTACCGGCTGTAGCCACTCCATTCCTGTTGCTGATGGTCGTGTGTGTCGTCCCGGTCCTCGTCGCGATTCTCTGCTCGCCCGTTAGTCTTTGGTATTGCCCCGTGCTCGGCGTGCGATACCCGCAGGTTGTCCACCGCCTGATTCAGGTCGGAGTGGTGCAGGGGCGCGGGTCTCATTGGAGGGGCAATCAACACCTCGCCCTGCGAAGTCAAGTCCGGGCGGCGCAAGAGCGGCGATGGTTGAGCTGGGGAGTACCGACTCATGCGGCCGACCAGAGGCGAGCCCTGGGCAGACGACCCGCTTACTCCTCGGCTCCCGCGACTTCCTCGACGACCAGCAGAGGCGTCACTGCTGGTAGACTCGTTCAGGAGGTCTCTGTTCGTGGGCAGCCAACCGGGACTCTCACCCCGAGACTTCTCCGGGGCTCTCTTCTCCTCCGTCTGACTCCGTGGATCACCCAGGACTTGTCGAGCATCTACTGAGTGACTTCGACTCTCCTGTCTACTCGTCGGCGGTGCGCCGCGACCATCTGCAGACACACTTCGGATGTGATGGTCATCTGGAGAGGGACATCGAAGGGCGCCGGGAACCAGTGAGGCGATGGGCTTTGGTGAATCATAAATGACAGTGTCAATCTCGTCGTTGAGGGTCTGGGGAATGTTGTACATGGACGTCGGGTGGTCGAGCACCCTGAGGCCCTTGTACACAGGCTCATGGTCGCTCTCTCCTTCCTCACGATATTCTGATACAGCTTCTTCTGAGCGGGATCTGTTGGAGACACAATATTAGAGAAGGAACAACCACGGTAAGTAAATCTAGTAATCCAGGTAAAGGAAATTATTACTAGACAAAATACTCCTTGAGAACCCACCTCGTCAAAGGGAAGAGCCCCGTCACAGGATCCCTCCCCCTTCGGATTGAGCCTCTGAAGGCAGTGCAGGTCCTAGGCGTGTGGGCGACTGGGCTTCCTGAGTTCTGTGCTGCGAGACGACGCTCCACCCACTGCCGAAGTTGCGACGCCCTCAGCTCTGCCTCCGCATCGCGAGACGCCCGGGTTCTCTCCGCCCGCTGACGACACTCTTCCTTCTCCGCCGCCAGCTGAATGAGTAAGAGGAATTTGAGATTTCAATTAAAGTCTTCATTAACATTTGATATTCAAACCGTCTAAAGAGAGTGCAATGTTTTGCTCAAATTCTGAAATCTTCTGAAATTTTAAACATCCAATGTTTCTTATGTGAAATCTGTCTGGCGAGCGACTGTACTCACCTTCTGCTTGACGGTGTCGCTGAGATGCTGAATGTGCGACCGCGTGCGGTGCTCGAGGTTGGTGATCTTGGCATCGAGTTTGTCGTGAGCGGCGTCTATGTGGTCCATGAGCGCAACCTTGTCCTTCTCCAGCTTGCTCTCCACATTCCTGAAGAAGGGCGCGCAGTAGCAGGTGTATCCCACGCCGACGGGTCCCTGGTAAGAAGATGCAGGATGAAGCGAATGCATGAGTGTTAAGGAGGAGCATTTAGAGAAAATAAAATCAGATGACACGCACGATGACATGCACCTGCTGCCGCACACCACACTGCCCACACAAAGCACCGAAGAAATCCTCACCTTCTTGATATTTCCCGCGAGGTCGATGAAGTACTGT